TAGAATTGTACAGTCATAGAAAGTAAAGCCAGACACAGTGGCTCATACCTGTAATCCTAGCTACTCAGGAGGCTGAGATTTGAGGATTGCAGTTCAAAGCCAGCCCCAGCAGGAAAGCCATAAGACTCTTACCTCCAATAAACCACCAGAAGACCAGAAGTGAAACTGTGGCTCAAAGTGGTAGAGTGCTAGCCTTGAGCAAAATCTCAGGCCTTGGGACTGGGAATGTGGTTAAGTGGTACAGTGCTTGCCTAGCATGCATGAAACCCTGGGTTCGATTCCTCAGTACCACATAAACAGAAAAAGCTGGACGTGGTGCTGTTGAGCAAAAGCTCAAGGACAGTGTCCAGGCCCTGAGTTCAAGTCCCAGGACTGGGGAAAAAAAAATCCCAGGCACTGAGTTCAAGACCCAACAAAAAAAAGACAAGTTTGGTAGAAAGCTGAATAGTTACTGAGCAATGCACAAAGCTGTTGTATTGATTTCCTCTTTTTGAGACATGAACTCACAGTGTTAGGTAGGCCAGCTTCAAATTCGTGACCTTCTTGCCTCAGCCTCACAAAATGCTGAGATTATAGGTGTGTGCAACCACTCCCCGCCCTCAACTCTTTTTCCAGGGTACATGAGGGCAATGCTGGTGATCAAGCCCAGGACTTGGTTACGTTTGTGCCACTGTACCACTGAGCTACATCGCTAGCCCCTTGACGCCTTAAAACGATGCTCTAAACTAACTCCAAGAAACATTAGAAAGTTAATATGAGTGAATTCCAGCTATTTTAAATGATCACATTAAGGCTGTTTTTGAAAGTTATATGAATAAGTATACTCCACTGGATTGGTAAAAATACAGATCAGAAGCTGATACATTCAAATGCAGGAGGAAAGGTGCTGTTTAATTCCTGAGCACACCCTCTGTGATGCCTTTTCTGGACAGATTAGGCCAGTGGCCCTTAGCGGGCCGGGGGAAGGGGGGCTGGGGGGGGGTGATTTTGTCCTACCTGTGGCATTTGATAGTGTGTGGAAACATTTTATGGTTGTCACAACTGAGGGGTGGGAAGGAGTCTCTGGCACCTAGGTGTGGAGCCCAGGGTGTGCACAGGATGACCTTCATATCAAAGAAAACCCATCCAATGGATCGGTAATGTTCAGGGCAATTCCTGGATTAAAGGAGGCATATATATGTGCAAGAATAGGTAGGGAAACCCATCAGTTGTCTTCGGTCAGTAGCAAATGTGTCTCAGCAGTTGCATCCTCTGCGACCTTCCACGCAGAGGACATACAGCAACAGCTAGAGAGCAGTGGGCCTGGCCTCACAGACCACGTGACTTACATGAAGACACTGACTCTCCCTTGACATCTCATGGTAAAGCACAAGAAGGCCCTCTCTCAACAACCTTGCTTGTTGGAATTTTCAGTCAGCAGTGATTACATTGGTAAATTTGCCTGGTATGAAAGATGCATATTTTAGGTTGTGTGTGTTAAAATACATTTTTAAATAAAGTCAAATATAGTTAAGAAACTACTTGGAAGCCAATGAATCTTTTTCAAGTGAAAAAAAAAACTTTAAAAGAAAAAAAAAAAAAACCTGCTTACTAAAGTCCTGATCTCAGAGAGATCATGATCTCAGAGAGCTCATGGTCATGGGGCTTGAACTCTGAGCCTTAATGGGACTTGGACTCTGAGCCTGAATGGTGTCCCTCAGTTCTTCAGCTCAAGGTTAGCGCTCTGCCACGTGAGCCAGTGTGCCACTTCCAATTTTCGGAGTGGCTTATTGGAGATGAGAGTCTCACGAACTTTCCTGGCTGGCTTCCAACCATAATCCTCAGATCTCAGCCTCCTGAGTAGCTAGGATTATAGGCATGATCCACAGGTACCCAGCCACCTTTTTTTTTTCTTTTTTGGAATGTAAAGGCTATACTTCTCTTGCATTATATTACAGAGCTCTATTTCTTTTACATAAGAGAACAATTCTTCTATCTACTTTTTCCTGTCTTTATTCTTTACTGTTAAGGAGAAAATCTGGGCTAGGGGATGGATTAACCAGAGATTGTCTGCCTTTGGAAGGCCATTGACCCATGTATGCCCATACTAACATTGGAAAGATGCCTGCTGGTTACAAATTGTTAGAAAATAAGATTTGGTTCTATTTTGAAATCATGAATTTATTTTAATCTCATGACTTTTTTCGGTTACTGACCTTTGGCCAGTAAAGGCAGGTGCACCTGGTCCCTCCTTTACTCCAAGGGTGTTTGTTGCACCAAGAATATTCGATAAGACTCAATCTCTTCCCAGACTGAGGCCTGGTATCAGCAGAGATAAGGGAGTGGCACGGAAGGAACCCTGTGTGTTTTCTCTTTATCAATCACTGCCCTGGGGCAACATCCCTAGCTCTATGACTCCTTGACCAACCCTGCTGGGTCAAGGGGGCAGAAAGGAGAACATTTATTTGATAATGTTATCATTAGTGTCACTTCAGTGACAGGAGGATACAGGGATATGGCCAGGTGGGGACAAAGCCAAAGCCACTGGGGTCAGGGGACACTGGCCCAGACTGGAGGCACCGAGACCCCTGTCTGACCTTCATCTCCACTGGCAGCGGGGAAGAGAAGGGCAGGGGAGAAGGAGAGAGTAGAGGTGACCCCGCCATGCCCAGCATGAGGTGGAGTTGGATATCAGAGTCCCTGGGGGAGAGGCCCAGTGAGCAGGAAGGCCAAGGGAAGCCGCCTGTTACAAGTCAAACAGCCCCACCAAGGCAGTCACCTCCCCAGGGCTGCTCAGCCCACACAGGGGAGTGTGTGACCTGGCTCTAGTATCAGACTCAAAGCCCTGTCTTCCTGCAGGAGAGTGTGTGTGTGCTCGCCCAGGTGGCCAGCCGTGGGCCTGCCGCTCCAGAGCAACCTTGGTGAGAGTTGCCAGGAGCCCCAAGCTCCACTTGCCACCCGATCTTCAACTCTGTATCCCTGGAGACAAGCACTAGCTCTTGGAAGCTAGTGAATGAGTTGGCTGTGGGTGGGGGTGGGGGGTCCCCAAGGCCTCCACATTGCCAGAGAAGAGCAGCAGGTAGCCAGAGGGGCACAGCTTTCCCTGGGCTGGGAGCTGTGCCGAACACTCCACTGGTGATGTCACTTGACATCATGACTCCCAGCAAGCCCAGCGCGGTGGGTGCAGAGGCGGACACGGCCAGCCCAAGGGCATTGTTTAGTCTGCGCTGTCTCTGCACCCACAACCACAGACTGGGTGGCTCAAATGGTTCTGAAGGCTGCACATTTCATTGCAAGGGCGCTAGAAGGATTGGTTCTGGTGAGCCTCACATCCCAACTCACTGATGGCCACTTCCTGTCAGTGTCCCTCCTGTGTGGTGGGACGCGGGACATGGGACAGAACTGAGGGCGCAATCCCCGTGCCCTTCTCCAGCACGCTGTACCACCTACACATCCTGTCCCCACACACTGGGGGTTCCACATTGGAACTCCAAGGTGACATAGTCCAACCAATAGCAGGAAGCTAGCTGGGAAGCAATTTGAAGTTCCTTTTCCACTGACATAACCACCACTGTATTTCCCTTGGCCCCTGAGCTGTGCTGGGGGGAGGGGGTGTGGGGAAGGGGCAGTGAAGCCCCTGCCTGCTAGCTCATCAGATGGACCCTCTTCCTAGTAAGTTACGGTTTCCTCTCCAAGGACATGAGGGCGAGTAGAAGAGCCTCCGTTGGGCAAACCTTCAGAATACTGATGCCAGGGACAAGTTGGCAACAGACTAGGAAATGGTGACGCAAGACACCCTCAACCTAGGACTGAAGCTAGAAGTACTATAGGAAGAGTCCACAGTACCTGAGCCAAGCCCTAAGGATAGCCCTCATAGAAAGCCAATCCAAGGCACCAGTAGCTCATGCATATAATCCTATCTACTCAGGAGGCTGACATCTGAGGATTGGAGTTCAAAGCCAGCCTAGGTAGGAAACTCAGTAAGACTTTTATCTCCACTAGAAACCCGAAAGTTGCACTATGGCTCCAAGTGGTAGAGTGCCAGTTCTGGGACAGTGCCCAGGCCCTGAGTTCAAGCCACGTGATAAACAAAAAGGAAAAAAAAAGAAGCCAGGACTCAACCATCTCTGGATGTTGTTGGCTGAACAAGGAAACGTAACAGTTCTCTGGGCTCCTAGGACCAGGGTCCACACCGGCAGGCCACCCACGGGAGCAGCTGTGGTTGAGCTTGTTAGTCATTATTGAAAACCTTTGCCGTGAAAACAAGCTAGACACACTCCTGTGCATACTCCCACCAGGCCAGACAACAAACTAGTCATCCACCTGGAATGTCTCCTCTATAAATTAGAATACTTGTCCTGTCGTGGAGGGAAATGTTTCCTTCCCCAGCCTGTCCTGCTCACTTGTTCCCACTTAGGTTGTAACGGTAGGCATTTAAAGCCGGGAGGGTTTTCCTAATTTTTGAAAGCTCACAAAGAGTAATAGGCTCCCAGGATGTCATTTGGAGAATGAAAATGTGTCATTGTACCGTCTCAAACTGTCAAATAAAGGCAGTGAGTTCACAGAGAGCCGCAGAGCTGGTGTTAAGTGGATGGGAAGCTGTGTTCACAGACATGGCGCTGGGCTTGCTGCTGGTGAGGGGGGGCCAGCAAATGGGGAAGCCATTCACCCCATTTTCCATCACTTCACTGTGGAGTCACTGCCATTTCTCTCTCTCTGGAGAGTAGAGCCTCAGCCAGGGTCCTCAGAATCAGGGAGCACAGGGGTCCCTGCTCCCTCCTCTCCCCCAGCAGCAACCTTATACCTTTCCCCAGGCTGGCTCCAATGGGGGGAGGGGGTGGAGGGAGAGGAAATATCTTTCAAATGAAATTCAACCTTGAGTATTTTGGAAAGAGAAACAACCCATGTTTCCAAGTGGCTCCTCTTCCCTCAGGCAGGGATGTCCAATAAGTGCCCCGGGACCTCTGTTGGGGTGAACTGCTCTTCTTCTGCTTCATCACATCACTGGTTACCTTTTGCAGGTGTGAAAGCTGTGGGGCCGTCTTCCATTCTGAGTGCAAAGAAAAGTCTGTGCCCTGCCCACGGTGCGTGCGCAGGGAGCTGCAGAAGAAGCAGAAGTCCTTCTGGCGGCGGCTCAACGTGGATGAGAGCCTGGAGGAGGCATGCACCATGTTTGAGCTGTCCTACCAAAACACCTGACTGTGGCCGCTCACCCTCGCAGCCTCCTGCAATGACCAGCCAAGGGGCTTCTCAGTGGCCGCTTGCACCCTGTTAAAAGGGGTGTCTCCTCTCCAGCTAGACGTAGATAGATACGTTTATTTATTTATATCTATTCATATCTCTACATCCTATATGTGTGTTCCATATGAATAGCTGTCTAACAGGTCCATAGAACTTCGGTGGCCAAGAGCCTGCCCATAAATGAATTACATTTGGCCATGAATTTCAGCTGCCTGATCCCAGCAAAATGTGGTTTACACACATGGCTTTCCAGTTTGGGACACCTCTCTTCCCTCCCTCCCTCTTTCTCTCTCTCTCACTTGGTCTCTTTTTCTCTCAGGACCATTTTATTACACAAGATACTGGAGGAAGCATTTGCACCATGCAACAGAGAGCTGCAGGCTATTTCTGTGTTATTTATTTTTAGCCCTCATAGAGGGCTGAGGGAACTAAAGCAAGCATCATTTTAGGAAATCTGTGGAACACAGGAATGCTCCCAGATCCTTCCAGGACCCCCTGTCCCTGGCAGAGTTGGGGATCGCTGAAGCCGAGCTGTTTGGCAAGAAGCCAGGAGCACAAGCTCCTGCCGACAGAAAGCATATACCCCTAACTTAGGAGGAGAGCTGGTCTGGTTTTCAAGTTAATCCCAGAAAGTGTTTTCCTGAGAAAAGAAGAGACTTCTGCAACCAATAACTGCATGGTGTTGGTGTGCTGGCTTGGGCGAATGCCCACACCTACCTAATGATGTGACTCTACTGTATTTGCCAGGCAATGTGGCTCTTTAAGAATGATTTTCCCGGGGTGTAATGGGTGATATGTATGGTGTTTTCATTTTACTGGCTAGAGGACATGTCCAAGGATTGTTTTTCAAGACGTCAGTGTGTAGACTGGTAGATACTATATGTGGTACACGTGTTGGGAGAGACCATCTTTTGTGTCTTCATAGGTCTGTATAGACAATTCTGACCGACCCAGCCACTTCAAATGCTTTACTTCTCATTGTTCTCTACTGTGCTTTCATTTTTACCTTTAATTTGCTTTCACTTTTTTGTTGATTTCATTTTGTTTTTGAGACAGAGTCTTGCTTTGTAGTCCAGGCTGGCCGCAAACTCGATCCTCCTGCCTCAGCTTCCCAAATGTCGGGATTTTAGGTGCATACAACACATGGCTTCTCATGTTTTTAATTATTTAAAATATTAAAGTAACATTTTTAAATGCCAACTGTATTTAAAGAATATACAAAGTTTAAAATATGAGTTAAATCTAATATTGTTGAAATGAGTAGCTCCACACATATACTGCTAAAATAAGCACTACAATAGGAATAAAAAACACATGAATTGCTTTGCTATTTGGCAGTGTCCTGTCCCTCCCTTCTCCTCCCCTCCCCCCCAGCTCTTCCCCTTCATCCGGTCCCCTAGGAGAGCCGAGGTGTCAGGGATGGAGACTTTGGAAACCTCATGGCTCCCATTCCTTCTAGCTTCGCTCTCCAGCACAGGGAGATATGCTTCTGACAAAGCACTTCCCTGCAGACTTTACAAGAAGATGCACTGGACAGCTGTCATCCATGCCCATGTGCTTTCCCAGTTCCATAGCTGTTGGCATCTGGGGAATTACCATGTTACACCCAGGCCCACATTTTGCCCCTTCCGAAGGCCACCTCATGATACTTCTGCCCATTTAGTGACATTTCAATTCGAGTTTAGTATGGTTAGATGTAAGCATTTCATCTCTCGACTCACACCATTTCCTTTGGCCCCAAACTACACATTTCAGCTTAATAGTTCAGCATCACATATGCATTTGTTTCCTCTTTCTAGTAGCTGTAACCAAGGTATGAAACATGTTAGAAGGCCAGGAACTATTCATGAAATGCTTTATGGGGCCTTTTACTCATAAAAAAGCAGGTTGACATCTCCCTCCATCTTACACACATACACACACACACACACAAAATGCTTTATGGGACCTTGTACTCAGAAAAGCAGGTTGACATCTCTCTCCATCTTACACACACACGTGCGCACACACACACACACAGAGGCAAAAGCATGGAAAGTCTCACACACTTCGTAAATGGGCAAATGAATTTTGATTGTCTCCTTTTTCCTCCCCTTCATGAGATACAGTATTTGTAGTTGCCAGCTTCAGAGTAGACAGTTGAACATGATCTCTCACAAGAGGATTTTAGACCTGCTTATTATAAAACAGATGTGCTCCCATGGCAAAGTGCCTTCTCCCTCCACCCCCAGCTCCCTGTCACTATAGCTTACTTTTGCCTTCGCTATAATTAATGTATCTGTGATTCCAACTGTCAGCAGGTCATTCTTAGCACACTGATTTGGAGACCTGAGTGCAGAACTGTCTCCCCTCTGCTAGTATGTTTGCTCCACCCATACTATTGCCTGTCCCAACTCAGGGACATCCACAGCTAGACATACAGAGAGTCGAGGTAAAATTTTAGGGCCCTAATGTACGAAAACCTTTCTTTTCCCCACTGCCTATTTAGAGGACCCTGTTAACTATTAGTAGTTGCTGGGAGCTCCTGAGAACTTTCCATCCACATTGCTTTCTGCTTATTTTCAAAAGGGAAAAAAAATAAATGTGCTGTCACCATCATTACCAGGAATGAACTGTGTCCCTGTTGTTTCTGTTTTCTCTCCTTTTATACAACCCTGACAGGCTGGTCCATGCCAACCAGGGGTCTAGAACCTTCTCTGCCGCCACCACCACCAAAATCTGACAGGACAGGGCAGAGCCAGCCTACAAGTTGGGTCTGCCATGAACTTTAAAACTGCTTTTCAGCCCAGAAAGCCATAGAGTATATGAACACCCTTACTGTTTCCAAGACTAACAAATTACTTGGTGCGACGTTAGGTAATTGTTCTATTGCTTAGAAACTGTTTAAATAAAAGCAAGTCTGTAGGTTTCCACCTCCTTAGAGCCAAGCTAATACTTTGCCTTGGGCCCCATTTTTCATCTAACAGTAAATATCTTGCACGTGTGAAGCATGATAGACTAAAGCCAATCGTCTCCTGAAACTGGCCTCTGAATCCAAGGCACTTTCCACCCAAAGGCCCATCATCTGGGGGGGTATCCTTGAGGAAATCTCTCTGCTAGTACCAGGAACTCATGGGAGAGACCAACCCGGGTGAGATGCCGACATGGTTAAAAAGCTAGTTCCAAAAACAGACCTCAGTTTGCACTGTGGCAGGAAGGCCACAAAGAACTTGGGCGGCCGTCACCTGGAATCTGGGCTGCTCAGTCCAGAGCTGCACTGCCCAAGATCGAAAGCGCCTTGATGCGAAAACACCGTAAATGCTCCTGGGCCACCTTCTGCCACTCCTGTGTCTGTAGTGTTGTCTTCTGAGGGGGTCATCACCTCTTGATTCCTCTACATTACCTCATCGCAGAGAGCATAGGGCTAGTGTGGGATTCATGCATTCCATCACGGTGGTATCTTCCAGACTCCTGAAGTGGGCCTGTGCCATGATTTTTTCAGGTGAAGGTGTTCATATCACTCCAGATGCTGAATGTGATTTGCTCAGTTGGGACACGCCTGGGATAGGGCCTGTGCCAGGCCTCTATTTGTTTGTATCAGATGCAAATGCACAACAATGTGGATACCTGCTAGTTTCTTCTCATGCCTCCTCAGAAAGGTTTGGCTCCCAAACCTGCAGTTTAGTTCTCTACCCAGTGGTCAAAGAAAAAAAAACCATATACAAACTCTCAGAGGGGGGGGCGGTGGAGGATGTGAGCCCATACACATACACGTTGAGTACTTCCCACAGAGATGAGCACTAGCCAAGGAAGAGATACACCCTGCTCCTGCTCCTGCTCCTGCTCCTACTTCATAGTAGAGCACTGCTGCTGCTCACACATGTGCAGAATGCGCCTTCCCCATCCATCCGCTGCACCGTATGGAAATCACTAGATCACAAAATAAATCTTCACTGCTTTACCCTAATACTGCCTGGCTTCAACACTGACATTTTTACTTTCTTTTCTTTTTTAACTTCTCATAGTAAGTAGAGATGTATACACTTTCTCCCCATTTAATTTTTTTCTCTTTTTCTCCTTCCTTTGTTTCATGTTCTGAGATAAACACACCTCCTTGGCATGACTGGAAGCAAATCCGTTTCCCCTTCCTTGGTGCAATATTGTGTATGTTAGGAGATTTGAGTATCTGGCTCCTTGAACAAGTCTCCTGAGCCCCACAGAGTACAACCAGGGAGGGATGAGCAAGCTCTCTCTCTCTGTTTAATCTCACTAGGCTAATGCCAATCTCTGTCATACTGGCAGTGTTTTGACAGCTAAGTCTCAGCACCCAGTGGTCTTCTTAACATCTGTCTATTTTCATTTCATTGGATTCAAAATTTTCTGCCTCTAGCGCCTTTCTCCTCTATCTTTTATTGGGTGCATGGCTGAAATAAGCCCCAGGTTAGTGTAAAAGTCAGAAAGTGGTAGAATACCCTCTTTCCCAAGCCAAGCCCCCTTCTCAGAAGTTTTACTTAGGATGAGTGCCAAATAATCTCAGTAAGTGACTCTTTTCCCACGAAGTGATGGAAGGTGTGAGGAAAGGTGACCAATTCTGTTCCTGTTTGGTTCCTTCCTGTGGAAAGAGACACCACTGGCTGCTCATCTCATTGCAGAGTTCTTGTGTGAGGCCAGCGGTTGCCCAGGTCAGGAGACTGAGACACCTGTAACAGCTCCTGTGCCTAGTGAAGAGCGCAGCTATGGCTCTCTCTGTGCACTGACATTCCCATGTTTCCCTTCTCTGTAGATGTGCCTTAGAGTAGCGCTTCTAGTCTCCATGACCACTTCCAGCCTGCAGGACTCCATTCAATATGGACACCTCTACTTTCTGCTAGCTACTTTTCACACCGGTGCACTGGAGTCTGCAGACTCCAAGATGCCCACCAGATCTTCCACCTTTGCTTAACCTGGTGCCTTAACTCCTTTAGTAAAGGAATTCATGTTGGAAATGTTACTAGAGTTGCAGATATTGGCTTCTTAGTGCCCTGCGTGCTTTTACCAGAAAATGCAAGACACGACCATATAATGTTTTAACTTTGCTTTTTGTTGTTCTTAGTCACTCCTTTTGTTTGCTGACTTGCCTTCATTAGCCAAACTCAGGGGAATGTCATGGTGTCACCAAGGCCATCGGCAGGAGGGGGGAGGGGAGATAAAAATTGCTACCCAGAATTGAATATGTAGACTATGAACTTAGCCTTTCTTCAGGTTCACACATAACACAAACACAAGCATTTTCTTTTCCTGTACTGCAGAACAATTTTCTTTTTGTATTGCCACTTGTTTTCCAAATGGGAAGAGGGAAGACTCGGGTAAATACTGCTGAAAATGTCCCTTTGTACGGAGTGAATTGTCCACTCAGCATCCATATTAACCTGTGCTGCTAACGACCTGTATTCTGGCTTTGGTCACTTCCCAGACTTTTACTGAGAATCAGCCTACCAGGGAAGATTAAAGGAAAATCTGTCACTAAGGAATGGTCAGTCACAGGATAGATCACAAATGCCAAGCATGAACATGGTGATGTGAAGAATTTTTATCTAACTGGTTCTAAAGTCTCCTGATCCGATCTGTGTTTGTTTGGTTTATTTTTTTTCTTATTTGTGTTCTTATTTTCTTAGAATGGACTAAAAGCTTGGACTTGGGCACTTAATTTATCCATCTTAAGCTATTTGTAATAGCTAATGTGTTGACATATATACCTTTTTTCCTGTTATTTTATGGCATTTTGTTTGGCATAACACCCATATTTTTGTGTTCATGGTTTTTTAAAGTGTTAGTCACTGTACTCATATAAAATTGAAGTTGTGCTCTTGACAGGACATCTAGTTTTTATGGTCATCTGTCACATAATTTAAGAGTACCCATTCCGAAGGTATAAAGTTATCTCTCAATAAACAATGGAGAAAGCACCTGCTCTTCATGAAAATACTATTTTAAGATGAGAGTGGAAGTCCAAATTGAGCAAATGTTAAATCAGAATCAAGATCAGAAGTTTGTTGAAAGTAAGCTACTTACTAATATTTTAAACTTCTTTTAATATCAGTTTCACGGATGGAGTAGGGCACTTGTGCCTCATACTTGTAATTCTAGTTACACTCAGGAGGCTGAGTGCTGAGGATCACAGACTGAAGCCAGCCCAGGCAAGAAAGTACATGAGACTCTTATCTCCAATTAACCAAAAAAGCTGGAAGTGGTACTGTGACTTAAGTAGCCAGCCTTGAATTAAAAAGCTAAGGGATAGCACTCAGGCCCTAAATTCAAGCCCCACTACTGGTACAAAAATAAATTAAAAAACAAAATACTTACAGATGGGTTTTTTTCTAAATATATATCAACCTATGGCATTCTCATGAGCTCTCCCATGTTTGTGAAAAATATAAAACTCATTTTTTTAAAAAAATCCAGGCACCGGTGGCTCATACTTGTAATCCTAGCTACTCAGGAGGCTGAGATCTGAGGATCACAGTTCAAAGCCAACCCAGGCAGAAAAAAGCCTGTGAGACTCTTATCTCCAATTAACCACCCAAAAACCAGAAGGGATGCTGTGGCTCAAAGTGGTAGAGTGCTAGCCTTGCGCGAAAGAGCTCAAGGACAGCTCCCAGGCCCTGAGTTCAAGCCCCAAGACCAACTACAACAAAAATCTCCTTAAAAAAGATGCCCATGTTATATCTTGATCATATTTGATGCATCAACACGTGACTTTGTTCAGTTGTGAGACAAAATAATTGATGCATATGGGCTGCATGTCCCACTACAGTTCTGCCCCGGCCTTGTCCCTTTTCCTCTACCCTCCTCTGCACTCTGCAAATTAGGGAACAAGTGAGCACTAGGCAGAGAGGCACTGAGCATTCCTGAAGACCATCTTTGGGAAGGAGGAAGGAGAACACAGTGAGAAATCTGTGCTCCTGGCCGCCAAGAAGTGACTGGAAATGATGCAGCTACCTCCTGCCTGGATGGGTGCTTGGCCCTCCACCATTGCAACCACTACCCCCTTGGAACCTTTCAGACACAGCATTTAAATTCACCTTCGCAAAGAAGGACATTGAAAAGAGATTAGAAGAGGTGCTTCTGGTAAACATTTACCAAGGGTGAACCCTGAGCCTTATTTCCTAAGACACACCCCAAACTCGGTCACACACACCCTGCCTCTTCTACCCCACCTTGAAGGAGATCAGCCCACGTTCACTCCTTCCCAGGAATAACTGCACTTCATCCTCCCAGGAAACCTGCCCCAATCCACCACAAAAGGAAACGGGTTAATGTTTCACTGTGACACACTGGACACACAATCTAGTCAGAGCCCAGCTGCAACAGATTCACAGGACAGCTTAGTCATCATAAACTAGAGTGGCTGGATTATTGGGACGCTTCAGGCGCCATCAAAGAGAAGATACGCAGAGATGACACCGGGCGGACCAGGACATTGTCTTGTTCAGCTCTCCCCATCCTCAAAAGATGGCCAATTGAATCTCCAATAATTGTTTTCTTGTTTCAGCTTTTGATGATGGCTTAAGAACATGGCTTAAATCAGAGGTTTCCACATTAGAAACACAACTATAAATGCAGAATGTCAGTTTTTGTCATAGAAATT